TGTGAATAACCCATCGCCATATCCCAGACAGAACGCAATATCAACAAAGACCGAGACAAGGCACATCACTCGCTGAGGATAACCACAGACACGACGTAGTCTTTTGTCGGAAGCGACGCGACGGAAGCTGCTAACAATAGACTCCGTGGAGTCTCCATGGCCCGTCGATTATGATTATGAATAGCCGCCGTGGCCTCCCCCACGTCGTAATTGTTAATTAGCCCCGGCATTTCCAAACTCCGCGGGAATCCATTCAGTTCAATGTTCTCGGGGGTTCGTGGTAGTTTCTGATTCGACGATGTACGAGCGAGAGCTAGCTAGCTAGCTGGCTCTCGAAGTTACCTCGTGATTTAACATGAGAGCCACCCTTGTTTGCGCAAGTATTCAGCCTCCGTCTCTCTCGTTGCGGAAGTTCGATTATCCTTCGCCGAGTAGAATGCGCCATATCTGCATTTGAACAAATGTTTTCATAGGAGCGAATTGAACAAACATGTACCTACGAATGATCGCGGAGTTTAATAAATGCTTACCTTAATTTATATACATAATCTATTTTTAGTGAAATATATATTTACGAGCATTATTGTAGTAATAGAGCGTAGATTTTGTTTCTATAAATCGGTAGAGTTTACAAGCTTGTCGTAATTTTTTTTCTTCCCAACAACTGGATGCTCATTACGCAAGTTAGAAGGGTGCAATGCGATTGACGAAACGTAATTATTTTTAATCACTTGCTGAGTGGAAGTTCGTTGAAAGGGGTGAAAACCGATGGTGGTTAGCTGGAAATCATTTCTTACACTTTCATTTAATGTCACGATACTTCTTTAATCTTCCTGGGGAATCGCAACAGGAAAAGTATATAATACATGAGTAAATTATAAATATATAGTAAATTAATTATAATTTTTACTTAACAATTTATTCTGTTATTTAAATGAATAGATATATATTTTTTATTTATTTATACACGCCTCAAGTAATTACTAATCCATTGAATATGCGCTAGCATTACACTAGCATTATATGTACGTTTATTAAGTATACGTTTTATTAAGTACATATGAAATTGATATGTCATCTGACAAGCACACATAACATCGCATATAATTTCCATTTAATTAATTTACAATCCAAGGAAAAAAATTTTCTTTACCATTCACAAGCTTTTAAAATCTACCGACTTCTTTCCACTTATCATTATTATTAAGTTATACTGTAGTTTTGTTTTGGACGTTGTTGTAATTGTAAACATTTTTTGTATTTTACAGGTGAACTGTTATGTTACCTCGGTGTTAGTGATTCATTATTCCGTCGTAATGCAATAAAATGTATCTCGCAAATATCGGTAGTGCGGGAGTGCCGTAATAGTTTCGCGCGATTTTAGTGACCGAGTAGGCTCGCGAGCAATGCGAGCGTGATTGTTAATCGCGTGTGAGTGCCACATCTACTGAGAGGAGGAGGAGGCCTAGGAGGCATCAGGTGATGTCGGAGAAACATTGCGGTAAGTAATTAATCGCAACAAATGCGAACTTTCTTAGCGGTGGTGGAAGGGCTGGCTTAATATGGATGCAAAGCTATCTTTTGTAAGCTATGAGTTTTGCTATTTATTACAGCTATTTATTACAAAACTATTTATTACAATAATTTAAAAATTTTTATTTGAGATAGTAAACAATGTATATAAATTTAAGTCTTATTATCTTATTTAATTTAGAAATGTATATGAGAAATAATATGATGTAGGAACATTTTTAACAGATTTTCGCAAAACGATAGTTTTAATAATGAATTTCAAGTTTTAAAATTTTTTCATTTAGTTTTATTTTAGCTTTAATAAATGATAGCTCTGCATTAATATGCAGAATACGCTTTTCTAATCAAAATATAGTGCGCATTACGATTCAGCCAGAAATAGAAATAATCTACTTCGAATTCGACATGCGTGACATTGATTATCGCGTGTAATCGACTTATTTCTCGCACGTGCCTTTAATTCAAGCTTATTAAGCTTGTTATGTAAAGTGTTTCAGATTGTACGTGCTGTAATAAATGCAAAAAAATAATAGAATATTAAATAGAAAACACTAAGATAAATAAAATTTGATTACATATTGCTTGATGTTATAAGAGCATTAGTAAACATGATTTGGAAAATTCTGTATTAACACTCGAAACTTGGGCATTGATGTGCATTTAGTATACACAGTTTTAGTCAGCAATTTATCCCTTGGACATTTCTATCTATTCAGCTGAATGTATTTGATTATACTATTCCTCTTACAAAAGGATCGTTGTTGCTATTTCTGGCTGAACCATAATGTGGTATTGTATTTTGATTAGAGTCTATTGGTAAAACCACGCACGATGAGCATGTCCGGCTTATTTCGGTAGTCGATCATCTCGATAAATTACGACACGTGCGGACGTAATACTGCGCGCGCGTAATCTTACCGTCGTTTGTTATTCCATGGGGCAGTTTCGATTTCTTCCCGTAATCGTGTCCAAACAATACTGTTTGCGTAGGAGTCGACGAGTGCCGCGTGCGTCCGACAGCCGTAATAGACGGACGCGTACATATGTGTAACTGCCGTGCGTGTTTACATTAATTTCACGTAAGTGCGGGACAGTGCTCGGCTCAACCGCAGTGTCTAATGCGACACGAAAGCGCATAATTTGCATTGCATCACAAGTCGTAATACATCCGTAATTATTTATTTCTGTATTACGCGCGTTGGTCGTGTTTGACTGACGGTTACTAGTTTATGGTACGTGCAGCGCGTGGCGCACAACGGAGAGAGATAGCGGATTGTAATTGGCAACGTTACAACGCACGGAATAATCGAACTGTACAAATGTCACATCGATAAATTAACGACGTCGTCTTCATCTGATGACAGTGCACGCCTGGAAAATAAATTTCTCCGATAAAATACAATACTGCGACAGCTGCTGTGAAAAATGTTTGCCATAGCGCTGACTTTTGAAATTGAAATTCTCTGAATTAAACGAGATAATTTATCATTTTCTCCACTTATAAATTGCAAATTAGTTAAAAATGTAAAGCAAAAATTCGATAATAGCTTACAATTTAGTATTGAAATAAAAATACATGGAGAGTCTTGTGCATCTTAAAGGTTAATAGACTTGAAATTATTTCAAGCTATTGACAAATGAAATAAACATGTCGTAAATGCATTATTCCACCGCGGAAACACCTTATTAGTCTTTCCTGAAAGATTCAATCGAATGGAATGGTGTAAGAAGTCTCGATCCCATTTCGAGAGTTGATAAAGTCGAGCGCCCAAGAGGGATGAGGAGAGGGGGGGGGGGCAGGATATACGGTAACGCGGTAATATACGTTCGCGAAAGTGACAAACAAGGCTCGTAACGGGTTTTACGCGCGAGGCAATTATCAGAGTTGTCAGGCAGTCGGTTTAACGCCTCCATTTATGTGCGTATAAACGCGAACGGGAGTCGAACCCGCGAGCCAATGAAATGTAAAGCCCACGATGCATTAATCCCCAAGTCGAGGCCATACCGCAACGTTCGTGCATTACAAAATGCCATTTTACACCGCTGAACCAAAATTTCCTCCACCCATTGGCTTGTTTAATCCGAATCATATCGTTTAACGCAAACCGCGTTACTGTCAAACGTATCCATCGCCGTCCAGCGATTTAAACGGCGCGATGTATATACACGTGTTTCGTCTACTCGCGACTCGTTGTACTTTCACTGACCGATATAAATTTCGGATGGACAGAATATTCGCGATAATATATTTCCACCCCGTCCGCAACGTTGTAACGGTCGACGGTTATTCCAGGCTAAATCATGTTATGTTATAATTTTCCCTCTGCACTTCACATTTTGTAGTCGTATGTGCGTGAAATATTAATCGTGTACGTCGTCCGTCGAGTTTTCATTAGCCGTGGTAACTTTTCGATTGCTGAATAATTGCGATATTGCATTATCGGGCGAGTTATGTAATGCAGAGTGCAGTCGTTATTTTGCAATAACATATTTAATTTTGCGTGACTCGATAACTTTCTTGTATAATATATTCTACTTTTGTAGAAGTGCGTTTTGTGAGCGGCATTATTTTCCACATGTTGTAAAATGTATGCATTACTGTAATTAATTTCCCGTTATTGCCTCGGTGAGAAATAGTTTGTGAGGCGTGGTACGACTTCCGATCGGAGATGAGAGCCGATGAGTCAAACGATATTTCAATGCCGCCCAGCACGCTATCCGACCATTAGATCTATCGATGATCGATGTAAAGAAGCGACGCTTTTGAGAAAACTCGCGAAGCGGGGGGTGAGAGAGACTCGATCGGCGAGGAGTCCAAGTCCGACTTAATGTAATACCATGCGCGATCTAACGCACGGCCTAAAGAATATCTAATTATCTAACACGTGACTTGACACGTGTGGGAAGCTCCCGCCGCTATTTTCTGATTCATTTGCCGGCCACGTCTCGCAGAGAGAACGCCGTGCTTTTGCCCCCCTCGGTGTGATATTTTGTAAAGTTTACCCGGGCGGCGCAGTGTGAAACGCATGCTATTATTAAGGCCTCCGCTTTTTCAGAGCGCATATACCGCACGCGTCTACCTGCGTGTCTCCGCACGCGCACGCTTGCGTTGTAAACGGCAGTTAGTCATTCTTTCCGATAATTACGGTGAAACAAAGGATGTACGACATATTTGAAATTTCAGATAATGAAATGCGATGCTAGCTTCCTCTGGGAAAAGTATGAGAATGTTTTATACACGACGGTTTATAGTGCTTTTATGATTTTACGTATATAGATTTTTCTGTCTATAATTGTGCTTAATGTTGTGAGAATATCTACTTTGAATCTGATTGAAGTTAGAAATAAATAGACATTTTATATACCTTTTTATCGATTTTAGTTATCGTGTTTATAAACGCGACGCTGGAAAAAAAAATCGTAAAAAATGTTTTGTTCCTTCGATAATCGAGTTGCCATAAGTGTATGGAAACAGTAAAACAAAATTGCTACTTGCACATCGCGCTGAATACATGACGAAGAATAATACTTGAACGGGTTCTTGCACCGCGCTCGATATTATGCTTCGACAGAGTTAGGATCGTCTCCGCACAAACAAGGCAAGGACGACTCGGCTAGCCGCTTCTATGCATTTTCCATGAATATTCAATCATGTAAATGCATACGCGAGACAGAGTCAGTCCATTATCCCGT